TACAAGGCTAAATAGGGCCATGGGATGAGGTACCTATGACAGGGAGGGGTGCAAAACCAAGGAGTTGGCTAGACTCCTAAATATATATATATATATATATAAGAAAACAAGGGTCTGGCTGCACTCACCTTAACATGCATAAACAGAGTGCTGCTGTATTGTACTTCTTGGCTCCCAGCAGCACCCTATTTATGCAAGTAAATGCAGTTAGATCCCCTGATAGCCCTGATCTGGGTGACCAACAAATCCGAAAATCACCCAGATCAGTTCAGGAATTTCCTCGAAGTCATTTGTTTGAACGACCACACGCATGATCCCATGCCCAAAACAGTTCCAGATAATCAGGGCTTGTGGTCGGTCTAGTTCGGTAGTTTAAAAACAAACAAACTACCGAACATAGTCAATAGTCTTACCCAGGAGCTTGTTTCCCTTGTTCGTGGGAATGTTTCCACCGAACAGTGTCTTTCTAAGTGTTGTCGAACCGAACTCAGGCGATCACGGATCATGGCGGTGTTCAGGAGCTTCAGTACCTGAACATAGTTCCATGAACTCGATGACCAAACACCGCTGCCTGCGTTCATGCGAACAAGATGATCGTCACCTCGTGGTTGTCCGTAGGAATTGCGGCCACCCAGACAAACACTTAGAACACAGAGGTGGAAATTGTTACAAAGTAGCAATTAGGCTTAACAAGCTCCAGGGTGGTCTCCGGTTCGTGTGGCTGTTCGGTTCCCGAACCATATAGTCCAAAAACACGAAGTGAGACTTTTATATCACATTTTACAGGGTCCTTAGTCTGTGGGCAGGAAGCTGGCAAGCAGGCTCCTCCAGTAACTCAGCGCAAACGCACTTGAAAGGGGGAGTTTGTCACATGCACTTAATTAATATGAAAGAGGTGAATTATGGTTGAACCACATATAGCGCAAATTCTAGGTTTTGCTTACGTTTTGTTATATTTCCAACTTGTACGATTGGCTATGTTTTTAATGGGTTAATTAATATAATGTAACTAATAAGAAACTACAATTAAGCAATGAAAAAACTTATGGCAAGAGATATCCAAGTTATTGCTGCCAAAAACGTGCAGAAAAATTGCGATTGAATGACTCAAGAAAAGGTGCTGCAACAACTAAAGAAAGTTAATGTACAAAAGATAGTATTCACCCACAAGTACTAAAGGAGGTAAATGAGGAAACAAGTGTGTCATGGCAAGGGTACATAATTCATTGTTGCACTATAGAATATTGCTATTTAATATAACTTGTGTAGTGCATCAATAATTTCTATCAAAGGACCTGCAAGGTGAAACATTTTACACTTGAGCTGCCTGTATGTCTAATTTCAATGTAAACTAACTGACTTTGACCATATGGCGTGAAATTCTCAATTAATAGTTCAATCCTTTGATATGTTACCCATTAGCCTTGTTTTAGTATCATATCCAAAGGAAGGAAAAAACATTCATATTTACCCCCCAGAATAATAATTAAGCCTCATTTTTGTTATATTTCGAATGTGACAAGCGCCATCTTCTAAACAAGCCCATACTTGAGTGGCCTGACTTGACCATAGGGGAAGGAATTGTGATGTCCGTTCTATTGGATCATGGGTGGGGTGTGCGACATGTCAAGGGAATGGGAACATAATAAATTCGTAGATGCAATTATTATTTCTGTGGCAGGTTCATAAGAGAAGATAGAGCCAAATGTTTTCATTTGGATTGACTTTGGTCTGGAACAAAGGAGGTGGTCACTTATTATTTCTATAGGTACGCCTTAACTACACCCCTGGGCACGACTTGATAATCCACAGGGTATCTATCCCATGATTTGGAGGGGTGTTGGTGTACTTGCTAATAATGGTGTAAAGGTAATACAGAATATTTCTTCACTGCAGAGGGATCTAGATAGATTAGGGGACTTGGCAATCAAATGGCAGATTAATTTTTTTTTAAATTCTTAATTTGTGTGGCTTTGTGTAAATTCAGGTAATAGGGGGAAGGGGTACAGAAGTAAAGGATAGGAGGGAGTAGGGATGGGTGGGTACAGTATGATTCAGCAAAATTGGTACCATCGCAGGGTACGCTTTCAGACATAGTGTTACATTTGCATTTGCATGTTTTGGAATTGTAACATTAAATAGAGGTTACGTGAGGTACCTTCGGTTTGCTTTTGTCTTATTGTCGTGCTTCCTGTGTTCATATGGGACTTGGCCCATGTCTTGCTTTGTGGTTGTCCAGGGGGAAGGGTGGGGTCAGGTGTGGGTGTTGAGGGTTTGAGTATAGGGAATGGGGTTGCAGTCCGCAGGCAGTCCGGAGCGCGGCACCTGTTTGTAAAGGTTGTGTAATGGCGTGTGTGGTGTGGGTATGGCAGGGTTGTGTGGGAATGTATTTAGGGGTGTATGTACTGGTGTCGTAGGTCTTTTTCTGGGGAAGTGAGGTGCTTTTCTGATGTGGTTACCATGGTATGGTCTTGTCTCCCTCTAGCCACGGGTCCCATATTTTATGGTACTGTTTGGATGAGTCATGTATGTGTGCTGTAAGTTTATCCATTTGTGCGCTGTTATCTTTCTTATGATCATTTATTGTGTCGGGATGCGAGTTGTGGACCACAGTTCTGCTATAGCCCTTCGCGTTGCAAGGGCGATTCGGGCTATCAGTTTGTTCTCCGCTCTGGTGAATGGTTCTATAGGTTTGTAGAGTAGTAATGCCCAGGGATCCACGGGGCATGGTTTTTCCATTATTTTGGTAATCAATTGTGTGATGCTTTGCCACAGTGGTCAGAGTTTCTGGCACGTCCCCGTCTCCTCGCATTGTTTCCAGCAGGTGCTAGATGGTATTTGGTGCACAATGGCAAGGCATTGTGGAGGTACCAGCAGAACAGCATTTTATATGCCTGCTCCGTGTGTGTGACACAGATCGATATGGAGGCCGTCGCCTCCCAGATGTCCGACCAGTCGGAGGCTTCCTCCGGGGGGCCGAGGTCCTCTTCCCAGGATGTTATGTATGGGAGGGATAGTTGTGTCGAGTCAAGGGTGTGTACATGTCGGAGATTTGCCCCTGTTTATTGGGGTGTTTCGTGCATTCTCGCTCGAAGCGGGTGAGTGGGGCTGTGCCGGCTTGTCTTATGATTGGAGTTGTTGCGAAACTGCGAATTTGGATATATCAAAAATGGTCGAAGGTTGTGAGGGAGGATGAGTCTTTGATGTCTGTAAATTGTATAATTTTGTCGTTGTGGTATAGGTGTCCCAGTCGTGATATGTCTCTTTGTTCGAAATGGGCAAAGTGTTTGTGTGTGAGTCCCGGTGGGAATAGTTTGTTCCTCCATATCGGGGTCATGGGGGAGAGGAAAGAGGACAGTTCAAATTTGTCCCTCAGTCTGTCCCAGAGGTTGAGTGCGTGAGTGATTGCGGGTGTGGTTGGGGTGGGTAGGGGCCTGTGTGGTTTAGGTGTCCACATGTACAGGGATGGATGGTCCCACCCAAAGATTAGGTGTTCTAGGTTCACCCACCTTTTTTGCCCAGGTGGGACGTGCCACTGTGCTAGGTTTGCTGCCAAATGATAGTGTATGAAATTCGGGAGTCCTAAGCCTCTGCATTTTTTGGGCACGTATAGTGTGCTCCTTCGGACCCTTGGTTTGCATCCATCCCAGATGAATGTGTCAATTGCCGATTGTAAGGCCTTGAAGTCTTGTTTGTGGATTGGTATTGGGAGGGTTTGGAAGAGGTATAGGAATCTGGGGAGGAGATTCATTTTAATGGAGGCAATACGTCCCAGCCAGGAGACTCCCAGGGGTCTCCACTTGGTCAATTCTTTGTGGGCTTTGTGCAATAGTGAGGTGTAGTTCTTTGCGTATAGGGTGTTTGCGTCTGCTGGGAGTTTGATCCCTAGGTACGATAATTCTGTGTGCCAAATTCTCAGTGGGAATGTTTGTTTGATTCTAGCTAGGCACTGGGGGTCTGTTTGTATCGGTAGGAGCTCAGACTTAGTTAGGTTAATATTGTACACTGAGATTTCAGAGTAGTCTTGTATGATGGTGAGGAGGATGCTGAGCGATTGTTCTGGGTTGGTCAGTGTTAGTAGTATATCATCGGCGTATGCCGAAATTTTGAAACTTTTTAGACTGCATGTAAGAAGGAGGTGAATTCAGTTGGTAGTCCTATGTGTGTCAAGGTTCGGTATAGGAATGGCCATAACAGGCGATCGAAGGCCTTTTCTAAGTATAGTGATATTACCGCTGTTGGGATGTGTCTGTGGTTGGCTAGCCAGATGAGGTCGATGGCCCTCATTGTGTTATCTGCGGCTTGTCTGTGGGGGATAAATTCCACTTGGTCTGGATGGATGAGGGACCCTAAGTATGGGTTTAGTCTATTGGCCATGATCTTTGTCATGATTTTGAGATCTACGTTGAGTAGCGAAATTGGTCTGTAATGGGCAGGTTTTGTGTGGTCTTTTCCCGGTTTGGGTAGGAGGCATATGTCTGCGCTGGTCATCTTAGGGGGATGAGTCTCTCCTCTGAGTGCGGCGTTGAATACCGCTTATAGGTGTGTGAAGAGTAGGGGACCAAATTCCTTGTAGTATAAGGGGGTGTAGCCGTCTGGCCCCGGGCTCTTATTGGGTTTGAATGATCCCACTGCTTGTGCCATCTCCTCCACCGTAACCTCCTGTCCTATTGCAGTTTTGGCCTCTTGGGACATCTTAGGAAGTGTGGCATTTTGTAGAAATGTGTCTATATGGGCTGTGAGGGGCACCCTGTTGTCTCGGGGTTGGCGGTCATGGTTATATAGGTCTGTAAAGTAGTCTTGGAATATTTTACCGATGCGGGTTGGGCAATTGCAGAGTTCTCTGTGCGGATTGAGGAGATCCGCTTGGCTTCGGTGCGTTTTTTGAGGCGGCGGGCTAGCATAGTGTCTGCTTTATTTCCTTTTCGTAATATTTTGTTTGAGCCACATAAGGGCTTTAGAGGTGTATGCCTGTGTGAGGGTTTTATGGAGGTCTCTGGTCACTTCAGTTCCGTCAGTGTGGTGGAGGTGCTGTGTTTTTTGTGATCGGTTCCCAGGTGGCGTAATTTTGCCATTGCTTTGTTTATTTGTTGTTTGCTCTTGTTTTTTTTGTATGTGGCTAGGCTAATGATAGTGTCTCTGATGACTGCCTTATGTGCGGCCCATAGGGACATGGGTGTGATTGCCGTGGGAGAGTTCATTTCGAAGTACTCTTTGATTGCTTTGGCTATTTTGTGCCTGATCAGTTTGTCGTGTAGTAACAGTGGATTTAGACGCCACGTCCAGTGTTTATGTATTGTCGGTAAGGTTATAGTGATTGCTATCTTGGCATGTTCGGACCAGGAGATTGGGCCGATGTCTGAGTTGGTGATCTGGGGTACTAGGTTTGGGGAGATTAGGAAGTGATCTATGCGTGAATACGATCCATGTGGGTGTGAGTAGAATGTAAAGTCTGTGGTGGACGGGTGTTGCGCCCTCCAAATGTCGATTAGGTTCTGTGAGGCTAAGAATTGGGAGAAGAGAGTGTCATTCTGGGATGGGGGGATGCGTGCCGGGTTGAGTGGTGTTCTGTCTATGGTGGGTGTGTGTATAGCATTGCAGTCGCCTCCTACTATGAGGCATGTGGTGGAAAAGGTGTTGAGGTGGGTTGCTAGTTGTTGCCAGAATGATGCATCCGGCGTTGTGGGTGCATATACTGATGAGAAGGCATATGCTATTGTTCAGATTTTCCCTTGTATCGTGATGCATCGGCCCTGTGGGTCTTTCGTGCAGGTGATGTCTGCTAGGGGACAGCTTGTTTTCAAGACGATTGCAACACCTTTAGTCTTGGTGTCTGGGGAAGGAACATTAACATTTTGTGTGTAGTATCTGTTTGTGAGGGGAAATGTGCAGTGGGTTGTAAAGTGTGTTTCTTGGATGAGGAGGATGTCGATATTTTGTTTGCGTTCCCATCTGAGGATGTTGTGTTTCTTGTTATGGGAGTTTAACCCTTTAGCGTTGATGGAGACACAGCGTATGGATGTTGGCATTAGGTTAGTAGTCGTGGGGTTGTGTTCCCTTGGGGTTGTCGTTTGGGTTAATGTGGGTTGTGCGCCCGGGCATCGGATCCCCCTCAGGGTTGTCTGGTAGTGCGATGAGGTTGGTGAGGGGTGCATAGTGACAATTAAAGTGACATATCATAAGTTCAACACAATAACATCAACATTAACATTATAACTTTCGGTGTCCTTGAGAGTGTGGGGTTCTGGCTAGCGATGTTCACCATGGGAGTGTGGGGTTCTGGCTAGCGATGTTCACCATGAGGGTCTTGTACATTTGTGCTGGCTATGGTTCTTTGGGGTTGGGTGTGATAATTTGCTGTCTGTATATAGACAGGGGTATTTTTCGTGTGGTATCGTGGGGATAGTGTTATACTGCTGATCCTTCCTTTTTTTTTTTTTTAAAGGTGTGAGCACCTTCTGTGTGCTGCCGGTCGCTATCCTCTTTAAGTAGAAGTGGTTTGTTAGGCAATATTGGCTTGCTAGGCTAGTTAATGAGCTGAGGGTCCTGCTGTTCTAAGCCTCGGGGTGTTATCCTCCCTTTTCCCTCCCCGGGTTGAGGTCCCTAGGGATCTTCTGTTCTCTATGAGTTGGGCAGAGTCCTCCTGTATTGTTATACTGTGGTCCTGCCAGTTGGCAGTGTGCATATTATGATTTGGGTATCATTCCCTCTGTGTATCTAAAGGGAGACAACGTCCCCGGCTCTCTAAGGGGAGAAGATGCTCCGATTTGTATCATCAGTGACTTTAGTTCTGTGTGAGTTTAACCAATATGCTTTCATATGTGTTTTTTTTTATTTTAATGTTTTTTCAGATGGTGTCTTTAAGCGTAAAGCCTTCCCCTCTGGGTCCCCTGGTAAAGCGTTAGAAAGATGTCATGTATGGGGGTGCTGTTCAATGTAGGTTATGGTGACTATCCAAAGGGGGCCAGTATTGATAGTGGGCCTAGTGGGTGAGGTTGACTCCGAGGCATGTTTCTTGGGAGAGGGCAGTGCTCCTGAGGAGAAGGGTTAGAGAAGAGAAAACAAGTGACTGTCGCTGCAAAGGTATGTGTCCCTCTCAACCCAGTCAAGATCGAGAATTTGTGTCAGATATTGGGGTCGGCCCATGAATTTAGCAGAGGCGATGGGGAGATAAGGTCCGTATAGGGGTCAGTCTACTCTTTATTTTCCTCAATCTCTTCTATTTCCTCTATTTCCCTCAAGTCGTGCTAAATGGGTCGGGGTTTGGCATGCCTAGTGACCTGTGCCTACTGCTTCCCTCCGTGGGAACAGGTTTGAAAACCTGATCTTAGGGGGCTTGAGGGTTGGTTCTGGGTTCTTTCAGTTAGAGTTTAGCTAAGGTATACGTCTTTTAACTAAGTCCCTTAACAAACATGGTCTATGGCATATAACAATTATAGTTAAACAGTGAATGGTAAACAGTTGAATTAGGAGCAATGTATATCTTATCTGCATGAGGGTTGTATCGATAGTGTCTCTGATGGCTGAACCAGTCCCAGGCTAACGTGCGCAGTTCGTTGGGAGTTCTGCTTGCTGACTGTGTTTCAGAGTCCGTTATGCATGTCTACAGTTGCTCTTATTTGTATAGTTAGTTCGCGGTTGATAGTTGGTGTCCGCTTGGTGCAAGGTTGTTTGTGGCTGTTGTGGGTATTCTCCTCGCTGAAGGCCTTGTGTCGCATCTATGGCAGGTCTATGGCAGGTATTCCCAAACACTCCATGAAGTCAGCAACCTCTGTGATGTTATGTAGGGTGACAGTGCGGTTGTTTCTCCTCATTTGGAGCTTAAAGGGGTGCCCCCAGGAGTAGTGAATATGCCATCTGGTGAGTTCCTGGGTGAGGGGGCGCCGTTCTCTCCTTTTGTGGAGAGTGCTTGGGGCTAGATCTTGATAAAAATGCACTTGGTGCCCGTCAATTTGGAGCAGGGTGTCCCTTGCCGCTCGCATAATTGCCTCCTTGATGTGATAGTAGTGCATCCGTATGATTATCTCCCTGGGTTGAGTGGTATTGGGTATTGGAGCTCTTAGGGCCCTGTGTGCCCTGTCCAGTAGGAGTTCCGCCAGTGAGGCCTCTGGTAGTAGGCCGCAAAACAATTTACGGAGTGTCTGGGAGAGCGCATCCACCTCCACCGACTCCAGTACACCGTGGATCCGTATATTGTTGCGGCGTGATTGGTTGTTGAGATCTTCTTGTGCCTCCTCCAGTTGCCACACTTGCTCTTGTAAGGTGGTGATGGCGCTCTCGTGTGCGGAGGATCTAGTGGAGGCCTGGTCTAACCGCTCCTCCATGGTGGACGTTCTTTGTGCCAGGTCGCTGAGGCTCTCCTTGATGGGTGTGAGGGGCTTTCAAAATTCTTCCGTCATGTTGATTTTTATTTCTTTTAGGAGGTGTTTGAGGTCATCCTTGGTTAGGGGCATTGTGGAAGCTGTGCAGTTCATGTCGCTAGCTGCTGAATCCGAGTCATACTCACGGCCATCTTCCCCACGTGGGGGTAGCAGATTGCTGCTATTATTGTTGTATTTGTTTTCACTAAGTCCCTGAGGAAGTCCAATTGAAGGACGAAATGCGTAGGACGCTCTTATGCCATATATACCAATTAACTGATGGAAGTGTGAGGAGGGACAATACAGTGGACACTGAAGAAAAATATATTATTCAAGGCTGCTTTTACATCAGATAATTTGTGAGTGACCAATTGTGATTGCACACTGTTATTAGCCCCCACACAGTTAAACGCTATGTTTTTTTATTTTATTTTTTAGCAGACTATCCCCTATTCTATTTGTATACATTTGCTGAAGACAAGAGGAAGTCTTTGGGGATTTACCTGGATATTTCACCTAAATACAGGGAAGTCCTGGTTTGCTTTAAATTGTATATTTTTCTCACTGGGGTTGTGTTCACATATTTTGTTGTTAGTAGTCAATGTTAATCAGCAGTTGCTAAGGCCAGTAGTAATCTTCCCCCATACACATAATTCCACAATCATTGCAACACAACCAATATCCCCTACACAACACCACAAGCAGCATCCCTACAAACACATAATAATACAAGCAGCCTCCATACATACACCATGGGCAACCTACCCCCACATATGCAACACCACAACACCCTCTCCCCCCAGATTGGCTATTTTGGTTGCAACATAGGAAAAGAGCTTCAAACTGGGATTTTTGGTTTAACAGCAAAAAATATCAGGGTGTTAACCATTCCTGATCTCATTGTGTGTATTGATTCCTGCCATCTCTGCCTGTCACTCACTTGAAACATCCTAACTACTTCTATGGGGTTTCATCACTTAACTCCAAATTGGGGTAAATGAAATATGAATTGCAAAGTTTATGAGAAATAGCCAAGCTGTATGCATATAGTTAAGTAGTGGAAAGTTTCTAAACAATGATGGAATCACTAGTCAAGTAGTTGGTCATTAACCGAGGGCCTGACACTGGAGGGAAGGGGGGCTGCATGCAGTCTGCCAGCAGTAACCTAAATATGGTCTCTGCAGCTGTGAGCTATGAGCTATGAGAGCAGCTATTCCAATTGCTGATGGCAGTTGGATGGTGGGGTGAGGTAAGAAAAGTTTAAGATAGCTGTGGTGGAGGGGTCACAAGGTAAAAGGAGTTTGAGGGGCACAAGGTGAAAGCATTTTGGTGGGGGCACAAGATGAAAGGCAGAAGTGAAGGTGAACAATGGGAAAGGCACAAGTTGGGGGGAAAGAGGATGAGTGATATTGGGTGAGGTGGTGGCATGAGATAAGGAGAATTGGGAAAGATGGGGGAACATGAAGAATTTGTGAGTCATAAAGTCAGAACCTGGGTGGGGGCACAAGTGGGGGAACATGACATGAGATTACCTGATTGAGGTGTGAGCATGAGGTAAGGAAGTGGTGGTGGCACAAAAGTGAGGTGCTCAGTGTGCAAAGAATAGGGAGAGACAGAAGTAAGGAAGTTAGAGATTTAAAGAAGCACAAGTGGGGATTTACAGGGGGGGGAGAGGCACAACTGGGAAATTAGGGAGGGGAGGAAATAAGTTGGCAATTGAGAATTGTTATTGGGAATAACCAATTAGGCCCTGGGCGCCTCGTTGATTGATATATATATCCTAATTTTGATTACTGTCAGTTTGTCCCTGTTTCCAGATAAACACTTTTAGCCTATGTTACGCCTTTTGGGTTTAATTTGACTGCAATTCAGAGTTTAATGCAGAGCCCTTCCTGTATTGCAGACACAAAGCAATTACCCAAATGTAAAATAGGACACAAATCAATGTACTCTACACCTTAAAATGGCATAAGAATAGCTAAAGGTATACATTGTCCAAATACTTTTATTTTTCTTTGCAGTTTTCAAGATATAAGCGTACTCCCTATAGGTTTTTTTTTGACTTGCACGAGTCATAAATCTCATGTCAGATAGCATTTTCCCCAGCATTTCCTGCAATGTGATTTATTGCATTATGGGCAGGATATGCCTGTCTTGTAACTTTGGGCGAAAATAGACAGACATAATGTCTTATAGACTGATTCATGGGCTTGCTAACAACAACTGAAAGTGGTGATTCTTCAAAGGCTATTTCTCTCTTTTAGCATCACACACTAAGCCCTTCTATAATCACAACCACCACTAAAACATCCCAAAACAGCCCCCACACGCATATGGATTAAAAGTTCATAATTCATATGTTACATTGAAAAAGAATGTCTAGCTATTTATTACACTATAAATACGGACACTAAAAAGTCAGAACATTGTTGTTTTGATTTATTATGTTTTTGGAAGCTTCATAGTTTTTAAAGCAGTCATATAACATGTGTATGCAATGTTATATTTTATTATAGTACCTTTATAGTCACATTTGCCAATACAAAAGTAGGTATGAAAGAATACAATGTATTAATGTTTGCATTATAGGATCTGGAACCAAATATGGCCAAAATTTTTATAAAATGTTTATAATTTGAAAACTACTGTTCTTTTGTTCTGCCATAGGATGCAATGTGACATTAAGCTATGACTGATGAGTAGAGTTGAGCAGTTCATACCGAACATTAGGTTTTTTGGACCCCGGACCTGAACCCGGACATATCAGTGTATGTTCGGATTGGAGTTTTCGTGTTCGGCGATTTAATGGCGCGTTTTGAAAGGCTGCAGGGCAGCCAATCAACAAGCGTTTGACTTGTGTGCCCTTATAAGCCATCACAGTCATGCCTACTAATAGCATGGCTGTGATTGGCCAGTGCAGCATGTGACCCAGGCTCTATATGTAAGCTGGAGTCGCGTAGTGCCGCACGTACATGCGGTCTTATTAGTGTAGGGAGAGGATGCTGCAGCTTAGGAAAGAATTCTGCAAACTAGTACATTAGTGGTGTGGGGTGCACTACATATCTGAGAGTCAAATAGAAGTTTCAAATACCGCGGGTACATCAGAGTTTTAAAAAGTAAAATTTTTGGGTGCTAAATAGTACATTAGTGGGGTGCACTTCATATCTGAGAGTCAAATAGAATCAAATACTGCTGTCACATTGCAGTTTTAAAAGTAAAAAAATGTTGGGTCCTAAACTGCTAAATAGTATTTTAGTGGGGTGCACTTCATATCTGATAGTCAAATAGAAGCGTCTAATAGTGTGCTTACAGCGCAGTGGTAAACATTCTTATTTTCTGGGTGCTAATTTGCTAAATAGTACATTTTGGGGCGTGCACCTTATATCTGAGAGTCAAATAGAAGCGTCTAATAGTGTGCTTACAGTGCAGTGGTAAACATTTTTATTTTCTGGGTGCTAATCTGCTAAATAGTACATTTTGGGGGGTGCACTTCATATCTGAGAGACAAATAGAAGCGTCTAATAGTGCACTTACAGCGCACTTGTAAACATTCTAATTGTTTTGCTGCTAATCTGCTAAATAGTACATTTTGTGGCCTGCTCTTGTTTTGCTGCTAATCTGCTGCTTACATTGGAGTTTTAAAAAGTCATTTTTTTTTACATTTTCTTTGGTGCTAAATAGTAGATTTGGGGTGTTCACTTCATATCCGAGAGTCAAATCGAAGCGTAACTTTGATTCGAATTTACTACATCAGTCACTTGTAATATTGTTTCACACCTACAACACTTGTTACACAGATCTAAGTGATAGAAAACAGATTGATATTTTCTACACTAGAAACTACCAGATAACAAGCTGCTATATTTAAACCAGTGATCAATAGCTAAGAGGTACTTAAACAATATTGTAATTCTGGGGCAATACCCTCACAAGTCAAACTGAGAGGTCAGTTTATCTAGAAAACTGTTGCCTGGAGGAAATTCTAAAACAATTTCCATATGTCCTTTGCAGACTTTACATGCTGGAAAAACACAGGTGCCAACTGCTGTGGCTTTCTGCAGTATGCATACCGGCAAGGAGGGCAGGGTTGAGGAGTGGGTGGAAGATGATGTGGAGGATGATGAGGTCCTAGACCCTACATGGAATCAAGGTCATGCGAGGGACGTGTGCAATTTGGAGGAAGAGGCAATGGTCGCACAAAGGCACCAGCACAGTATAAGAGGGAGCAGGGTGCAAAAGCGGAGTTGCCATCCCCTAGCGCTCGTCGGCATGTATTAACTCGAGAATTACCAGTTATCCAAGTAATACATGTAGCAATCAAAAGATCCATAATAGAATTGAGCGAACCCAAACTGCAAAGTTCGGGTTCGTACCAGATTTAACGATCCATTCGTAGTTTCACAGTGAGGTGGGCAGTCCAGTGACCAGGATCCAGACACTGTCTGGGCGGCGGTCGGGCGACCGGCACCCAGTATGCCTGATGTTAAAGTTAGGAGTCACAGTGTGGAATGGATTAGCAGGGTCTGGTGCAGGGTAACCGCACGCCCCCTGGTGTCGAGGAGCAGAATTTGTGCGGCAGCATACCAGGACCCTGATGCAGCTTCAGTAAAAAGAGTACTTGATACCAGAAGCCATCACCAGACTGATCCGCAATTTGGAACAGGATGTGACATTCACTGTAGCAGCTGTGTGCGCTTTTGGCGTTGTCACCCTGCTGCAGCTTGCCTGTCTGCGCTGCAGCGTAACTTCAGCCTTCCCACTCACCGACTCATGAGACTGTGCGAGCAGCAGCAGGCGATAGTGGAGTTTCAGCTGCAGCACGCACGGGTCAGTGGCTCTGCACCAGACTTCCCTCCAATTGATCAGAGTTAAAGGATTTCAAGTAGACTCATTACAATTACAGAGCCTCTAAAGAGTCCTTTATTGTTATTTGTCGTCACTACCTTCCCGCGTCGGGAGTGGGTCATTTGCGCGCCTGCTGCCTTCCTTGCATGTGGTAGCCATTTCTCAGGATCCCTGTACAGAATGGAACCCTGATTCCCCATTACCCGTGGTCACCATGGTAGGTGAAGAAACTGGCATCGAAAGTTCATATGGATGACATCCGCATGCAAAGTCGCCGCCACGGGGATGTGCGATTGGCCTGATGTTCTCTAGAGTCAACAAAGTGCCTGTGCAACTATAATGTCAACAGCTACTCTGCGGAACAGAGTTGTCTTTTTTTATATGTCCCAATATTTTGGGGGTACCCCAATTAAAAAAAAAAAAAATATATATATATATATATATAAAAACAGTGTTGGCTACCTCATCCTCCTCCTCCCCCGCCACTGTCACCACCTCCTCAACCTATTGGTCACTTAGTATAAACTAGGCAGGGCCAGATTAACATAGGGGCCGATGGAGCTGCAGCTCCAGACCCAGGCCCATGGAATAGGCCCATTAATTTAAAAACATTTTTTTTTTTTTTTCACACACTACTCTTAGGGATTCCACTTGGCTTTTATTTTATTGGCACAGCCAGTATTTGAGGCTGCCTGGCTAGTGCCAATATTGCAGTGATACTGGCAATATAAATGCTGGTATTTTTCTCAGTATAAATGGAGATTACTCTGCAATACCAGCACTGGCCAGTAGGGGTCGATGTATGTGGAGACAGGCAGGGATAGGAAGTTCCAGCATATCCCTCCCTGCCTATCTATACTCACTGATCTGCAGGGGTGCAGCTACAGAGAGTCCAGACAGCAACTCCCACCCTGAAGAGACAGCCTACAGCTCAGGGAAGTAAGGGATGGGGGAAAGGCTGCAAGGCTTTATACACTGAGACACTAAGGGGCATTGGGAGACTTTATGGCAGACACTGAGACACTAAGGGACATTGGGAGACATTATGGCACAGACACATGGGGACACAGTGGCCCCATGTCTCCCAGCCAGTGTCCCTGGTGTCTCAGTGCCCCCTAGTCTCCCAGTGACCCCTAGTCTCCCAGTGCCCCCAGTCTGCCAGTGTCTCACTGTCCCCATGTCTCCTAGTGCCACCATGTCTCTCAGTGCCTCAAGTGTCACAATGTCCCCAAGCTAGTGTCCCTAGTGTCTGTGGCCCTGGTGTCTCAGTGTCCCCATGTCTCAATGTCCCCATGTCCCCCAGCCAGTGTCTCTAGTATCTTTGTCCCTGGTGTCTGTGTCCCCATGTCTTCAAGTGTCCCCTATTTTCCCATTGTCCCCATGTGTCCCAGCCAGAGTCCCCTAGTCTCCCAGTGTCACTGGTGTCTCAGTGTCCCTAGGTCTCCCCGTGTCCCCTGGTCTCCCTGTGTCCTAGTGACATGGGTGACATGGGGACCCTGGGATACATGGGGACACAGGGACCTGGGGACACGACATTAGGGGTCACTGGGAGACATGGGGCACTGAGACACTGATACATAGGATCACTGGGAGACCTTGGGACACGACACTAGGGGACACTGGGAGACATGGGGCACTGAGACACTGATACATAAGAACACTGAGACCTGGAGTAATCGACACATGGGGGCACTGAGTCATGAGGGCACTGGGAGACATGGGGGCACTGGGAGGAATCCATCTATACAGCAGATTTAAACTAAGTCGTTTTTTGGCGATTTTACAGCATTTTCTCTTATGTCACTCCTTGTGATTTATATCATGTTATGTCACCCACACATATTTAATTATGCAAATTAGTAAGGCCGGTATGTTTTTCCAAGAAAGGTGGCAACCCTAACTACTTTTCACATACTCTTACTTAAGTATGGAAACTTAAGAGGGATGTATGGGAACAAAACTTGTGTGGACTGGCTGACCATGAATATAGTTAAAGGGACACTATAGTCATCAGAACAACTACAGCTTATTGAATTTGTTATGGTGAGTAGAATCATTACCATCAGGCTTTTTGCTGTAAGCAGGGTCTTTTCAGAGAAAATGCAGTGTTTACATTACATCCTAGTGATAACTTCACTGGCCACTCCTTAGATGACTGTTAGAGATCCTTCCTGGGTCATGGCTGCCTAAAATGCATCCAAACATTCAGTGTCTCCTCCCTCTGCATGCAGACACTGAACTTTCCTCATAGAGATTTATTAAATTAATCTATATAAGGAGATGCTGATTGGCCAGGGCTGTGTTTGAATCATGCTGGCTCTGACCCTGATCTGCCTCTTTGTCAGTCTCAGCCAATCCTATGGGGAAGCACTGTGATTGGATCAGGCCACCACTTCTAATGATGTCAGCAGACTGCTTGTTTTTATGAGTCTAACAGCATGCAGAGTTACAGCTTCAGGCTTGAATATAGTAGGATTTTGCTATATTTATGGAGGCATGAGGGGCCCAGGGGGGCTAGATGGTGGTGTTTATAGGGTCATGAATTCATGTTTGTGTTCCTGACCCTATAGTGATCCTTTAAGGTAATGCTGACTTTGGTCTCTCTAACACTGTGGTATGTTCCCTTTCTTCTACACTCACTACATACAGCTTTTCTCTGTCCCAGACCATATACCAGGAGCTTCTGCCTGCTAGTAAGAAGATAAGGAGACAAGTGGACCAGCGAGTGCTAGGGGACAGTCCTTAGAAAGCTTTGAGCGAGCGCATCATTAGATGCATTTATGCCAAGCTCAGGGTGCTGTCTGCATAGTATGCCCTTAGTTGGCCAGCTGCATGATTGGCAGGCAGCCTGACATGCATTCATACCAGGCTGGCCTTCTAATTCTTTGAGCAGACATGTCCTCTTTTTGGGCATGTTTGCCCCTTTTGGCAGGTTACGTGATTTGTGTCAGTGGCACACCCTTTTACCATGCCCATTGACTTCCTGCTTGACTGGACACTGCTGTTAGGGGTTATGGATTTACTTGAAAGATGAAAACATAAATTAGAGAGAGATTATGAACAATGAAATTTGAACAATGAAAGAGAATACCCTGCACTCCAACCCTCTCTCAAATGGATAATTCTGGTGATCCTCCTGACAGCCATGCTTTAGATTTTGATTTATGTTCTTCCAAAGCTAAAATCAAAGATTCCATCTAGTGCTAATTTATGGCTCAGCTGTATTTTACATTTTTATGTTATTTTAAGTGATTTCCCTATCCACATTTGTTTGCAGGGCTCTTGTCCTACTCATAACCCCATTTTACTTCCTTTTGCAGCTCGCTATAAAAATAAAAAAATACAGAAAGGTTTCGACCATTACTTTAAATTTACATGCTACTAACATGTGCCTCCACTAATACGGAGCACCAGTTAACATTTACCATTTTGTAATTTAGAACAAAACTGCACATATTCAAATTCATTGGTATGGCAACTCCACCAGGATACAATTAAACATACACTGCAATGGAAGACCTAATTGCAAAATGTAATAAAAAATTAGCAGAGTTAATTATTATACATAATTATGTTGAAAAATAGGACTTAGTGCTTAAAGGGACACTCCAGACACCCAATGCACTTTAGTTTGCTGAGGTTCTTTATGTGTAAAGAGTGTACCCTTTTTTTTTTTTATATTACAAAACGTGCAGACATGAATAGAAATTGTATACCTACTAAAGAGTTATATTTTTTGTGTGTTTGGGCACAAATATATTTAAATATATCATTTTTCAGTATAGGGTGTTTTGGGAATTTGTAGTTACTAACTTATCTTTTCCTCTTTCCAACAAGTTAAAATAGTTGTAAATTTGAGCGAGTTAGTGACTGGATGCAATTTGGGAGTAATGATTACAAAATCTGCAAACCCTTTGCTAACAAAGGTAGGAACTTCCAACTGTAGTATCAATTTTATTTATTTACTTTAATGCATTATCTATTTATTTGATGCATTAAAAATGTGAGTCATATCTATCCCTTGAAAAAATTGTTACGAGAGATGGAAGAATTGCATGGATTAATTTCTTGGGCACTGACTGTGGATGCATGGCAATGTTTAAGTTTTCACTGAGTGCTTCGACCCCTCGAGGCACTCAGCACACAGGCAGAGAATCGGAAGCTTGCCCAATGGCTTCCGATGCTCTGCTACACTGCCGGGCACCTGTGGAGCGATCACTCGTCAGCCCAGTGTCGAGGTATCGGTGCAATACCCTTAGAGCGGCTGGAAGCGCTCATAATTGCCAGGAACGTACTAGGTTCTTAAGTACCTTTTTTTGTCAGACTTACCTAGTACGTACACGGTCCTTAAAGGGTTAATCGCAGCGGCAGACATTGAAAGTTACAGCAGCTGCTGACTCCTAGTCACTAACAATTGTATTTTGTAGCTTGGAAACAGTCATAAGACATTAACTTTACAGACAATCATTTTAGAGATTACCATTTTCTCTTGAAATAGAAATAAGGTCCATGCTTGTTAATCTAAGAATAACATTTTATGTAATGTGAGTGCATTCCTTTAGGGAGAATAGTTAAAAACTCAGAATAATGGCGAACATATCTGGCAAACTAATTATTTACTAAGAAGGTGGAAAATGTGGTGTATTATACATTTGGCACTCTCACCTTTTTACTTATTGTGGCACCTATCCAGCATGTGTGTGTTTTATTAAGGAAATTTACTTAACACATTCCTTGGAATTGTTATCAAAAGCATAGATTTATTTTTCCAAATCCTAACAAATGTACATCATTAGTGTATTTGCTAACCAGAATTGCTTAATTAGTCACATTCATTGATTTAATTGTAGATAAGGGCAGCTGGCAGTGCTGGGCGTTTTTTTTTTTACTGCTTATTCCAGGTCAAATTGTTTGAATGCGGATTTCTTTGTAGTAATTTCTGAGTATTATGCACAAATTAGCCAGAACAAACACTTTTATCTAGAAGTCGTAATCTTTTGTACATGTTGGTTGAAAGGAATGCATGCTAAAATCCAAGCTCCTTCACTGCAAAGTTTAACAATTCTCTTGAAAATATTTTGGAAGCGAGACGTGAATAGAGACTTCCAAGTGGTAGGAATATCTCTTTTGGGATCTTAAAATACATATATGTATCATAACATAGTTCTGTTTATATATGTGTGTACATATAAATACACATATACTCCCAAAGTGTTTTTTTCACAAACTTTGAATGCTAGTAAAATCAAAAGCAAAATACAGACTCTCTATATAGACGTGAC